AATACAAATTATTTAAAGAGAAGGGTTGTCGTTCAATGGTTTCAGTGGATTTCCCTTTTAATAAATTACTCCGTGGAGGAAAACAAGATTTCATATGTTGATTTATTGATATGACTGATACAATAAACTCAATATCGGTTTATCACATATTTTTGTTCATCTATAAGTAGCTACTCAGAGATACTTTCAGATTTTGAGGAGCAGATTTTGTCATTAAAATGGTAAATAAATTACACTTTTGAACAAAATATTATCCAATCAAACAAGTTGAACAAGATTAGATTAGATTAGATTCAACTTTATTGTCATTGCACAGGGTACAAGTACGGAGGCAACGAAATGCAGTAAGGTAATCAAACAATTTTTTTTAACAAATCAAATTCCTTCAAATCCTTTTACATCGCTTCCTTTGTTAAACCTTGACGTTTGTTTTTCATTCATTAAAAAAGGAAAATCCCACTGGCAGTAAATAATTTGTAATTAATTGCTGAAAACATTCAAAAATACTAATGATGAATTCTAAAAGTTTCCTGTTCTCATTGAGATCCACCAAACAAATTCCATGTTATGTAATTCCTGATTGAAATGCCAACTTTAAAGATCCTACATAGCTTTAACATTTTACAATCAAATAATTTACATTCATATCAATAATCTACATTTAAATTGATGTAAACAATTGTGTGATTAGTGTGCATTAAAGGAAACTTTTAGAGAAGTTTAACCAACCAAATAAGGGAATTTCATCGGATGTAGTTTAAAGATTTTTTTTAGGTACATGAGTTTTGTTTTGTTAGGTTTTTTTTTGCAACTTTTCCTGTTCTGGTAGCATTTTATGAGAATACATTTTATATTTACTGAACAAAGTCACTGGCAGCAGATGTTGTTAATCAGGCTTGATCGACAGGAAAATATAGATAAGAGAAGCTATATTGATGGAAAAGTGTTTTGAAGGAGCCGAGATAAACAATGAAAAGAGACACAAAACAAATGTTTTTGAGGGCCTTTCTTCTGAAACAGAGCCCGAGGGGGAAAGAGCCACAAAGGGCCCGCTCCCTGCTGCACGGCCTGACTTTAAACTGCTGCCTGTGTGAGGTGTCATGGGGGCTGAGAAAAAAAAAACCCTTTAAACATGGGAGTTATTGTTCCCTCCGTTTTTTTTTCCAACCTCCCATCCGCCGAAAATGTACCTCCTTTCTTCCTCTGCCCTTTAACCTCTCCCAACCCCCCATCCCACGTCTCTCTCGGCATTTCCCCTCCTTCCTCTCAAGACCAAACAACCGTGATGGATCGTCATTGATAATTTCCCACCACGAAAAAAAAAGGTTAATGGAGAAGGGTTTTTTTTTCTTGAGGAGGGGGGGGGGGGCAGGGGTGCTTCATCTTTTTTCATGAAGTAGCAATAGCAGTGGTAGTAGACCCCACCTCGAGCGCCGAGGCCCCCCCCCACCCCGCCCCCCGTGCATCCTGGCCTTTCCAAAGAGGTCTCCCCTCCTCTTCCCCCCCACCCTCTGCCTCCCTCTTGAAACAGACTCTATGGACTGCATGCATGACATTCCAGCTGTGTGGGTGGCACAGCCGTTTACAGCGACTCCAACAGAAGGAAGAACATCCACCCAGGATCCATCTTCAGATACACTTCTCCATCCAGGAGCTCCGGTGGCTCCGTTGCACTTCCCCTCATTTTAATCGGGGAAGTGCAACGGGAAATGTTAAAATTTTGCTCAGAAGTTCAAAGAGCCGGAAATGTAAAGTGTGAAGTCATTAAACATTACACCTGAAGTTAATTATTTTACTAAGCATCGATGTAGTTGGAATAACATAATAAAATATGGTTTTGGTGTCATTGCAATACTCCTCATCTCTGGGTGAGTTTAATAGTTTTACACATTTGGCTGGAAGAAAATGTTGAATTATCAGTTAACACCTCTTCAGTATTTGGGGAAGTTAAGATGATTTTAACAAAATGAAAAAAAAAAAAATATATATATATATATATAGTTTTTTTAAATGTCCAGGTCTAGATTTTTTTCAAATTTGAAGCCGCCTGCGTTTAATCGTGTGTTCTGCAGGGGATTAAACGTGCTGAAAAGAACGGCTTCATTCATAAGTGTGTTACAAAATAACTTTTCCTTTTGCAAATTCAGCACGGATTCAGAACGGAACCGTAAGCAGGAAAATCGCCGCGTGTTTCCACAATGTAAATTTCACCAGAAAAGCCATGTGGTCAAAAAACACAACATTAGTTTAATCTTCAAACTGCACATAATACCTTGTGATTTCACACCCCCTTCTTTTTATTCATACAGCCCAAATATATCGTTTGCCTCAAGCTGCTGTGCAGAGCGCACAACCCCCTCCACGTCCACAAAACCCTCCATTAAATCAATTAGTCATGATCCCAGAGGATTATCACACGCAGTTTTATTGAAGCTCCAAATCTGCTCGTGGGAGACATCGATTCCTAACCGATGAACAACGCACCTCATCCGTAAGCCGAGAGTACCGCCGGGCGAGCGCCTGCGCAGGGTCCAAAGGATGAAAAAAACTCAACCCCATTAACCGAACTTCAGAGGAATTCCTCACTTTACATACGGAATGCACTTTGGGTCAAAGGGCAAAGGGCCAGAGGGGAATCCACCCGCGCCCAGGCAGGCCTTATTTAAACAAGCCTGGAATGCCTGATGGGGAGAGGAGGAGAAGAAGAAGAAGGAGGAGAAAAAGATGAAGAAGAGGGAGAGGGAGAAGTAGAAGAGAAAGAACGAAGGGAAGGAACCACTCGGCCATTAACATGAGCAATAAATACCAGCACTTTTGAAATGACCTGCTGGCTGACTTCATGAGTCTGAAATGTCTTATGAGCTTCCCCCAGTTCAACTGGGGATGGATGTCTGTCAGAAGAAGTAAGAATCCCCAAATGTGTTGCAGGTACGGCAACGTGGGACCGCAGTCGAACCCCTTAAAAAAACGTTTTAATTTTTATCTCATGTGAGATTGACTTTGTCGAACAGAATCACACATATTCTGTATTTGCTGTGCTGTTTTATCGGAATATTTTATACGCATTTCCACAAATCTCCGGCACACTTTTGGTAGATTTAGCAACTTGAAGAATCTAAAATCAGTTTGTTTGGGGTTTGAACACAAGATTAATACCGTTCGGTTATTGTAAAGTTTTGATCACTTTTAAACATCTTCTTTAAATTCCCCCCACATCAAATCAAAAGAAGGACTTCCTCTCCCTCTAAATTTAAATCGACGCTGGTTGTCGGCTGACTGAGGCTTTCCAGTTACCTGTTACCTGTAATTTCACGATCAAAGGGAGAGGAGCTTACGAACACCATCTCGCCAAAATTTCCTACAAATGACATGCTACAATCCCCATGTCCGTGGTGGAATTCTGTCCACTTCAGGGCTTCAAAGCTGCACAGGACTCCTTTTTTTTTTTCCCGGGCCAATGGGCGAAGAGGGGTGGGACCCCGCGTGCCTTGACCTCGCCGACCTGCCCCGACCCCCCACCTCCCGAGCAACCACCCACCCAGAGGCCTGCTCCTCATCGGCCCATTGTCCACTTCATCCATCCATCCATCTTTCCCTCCAGTGAAGTCAGTCAGTAGGTCAGGCTGTCAGCAACAAAGGGAACTAAATATTCAAATTCTGCTCCTCAGAGAGTGAAACCACAGATTGCACCTCAGATGAACTTCACAGGGGAAAAAACAGACATTTAAAAACAACGACTTGTGGTATATGTTCATTAAAACGGAAGCTCACGGGAGGCTAAGTGGATTTTTTCTAAAGCAGTGCAATCACGTCGCAGAAAAGTGCCACTCCTGGTGCCGTTCTCCACAACTCGGCTCTCACACGAGCGAAAGTGCTTCACATCACCCCAAAGATACAAACCAAGAGAGAAGAAACTCAATGATTCTGGAGTTTTTCCCGTTCTGCAGCAGCCATTCCAGAAACTCTTGACTCAGCGCCTTTGGTTTGTCATTGAGGCCGCCATTTTCCCACGAAGGCTGACAGGCTCTCGCACTGCAGGAACCAATTACCTTTCTTTGATGAGCGCGTGCCTTTTATTTCCGTTAGCTGGCCGGATGTAGGGACGACGCCTCTTTTTTTAAATTATTGTTTTGATAATTCAACCTCTCATGTCAGCAGGAACGGGAGTTTTCTACGGCGATGGTGGTTTTATCTGCGCGTTTGTACATTTAACTTTAAAGACGCCGCAGCTTGAACAACGTTATTCTGAAAAAAATGACTTTATAATCTTGGTTTCAGATCTGCGTGCATAAAAACCTGTTGAGCTTTGTGAGTGAAGAATCCACAGGCCTTTCATAAGTCCACAACGCCGACAGCGTTTTCTGATATTTGTACTGTGCTGCCACCTGCTGGACAACGTTCAGCAAACATGAATTCATGTATTGACGCTTTCAACCTGCAGTCGAGACATAGTTGTTCTTTGGCACAATGGTTTGACTGTACTGGATGTATTTTGCAGTACCTCAATGTTTAGTTGCTCAATGCATATGCAATGTGCATATTTAATAGCTCAAGAAACCTGTTTAATGAGATAATGAATTTTAAATATTTTAAATCATTTCCTTAAAATCACTATTGTGTGATGTAGTTTTTAAACATAAATATCTTTAACCTCGTGTGAGCAGCATTTTACTGGTGTAGCTACTTTATGCATGTTTTCTTCTTAGTTTAGTGTTTTCTTCAGCAGTCTGGCCCCCGCAACATAAATCAGGGGCGTTGCATGATTAACAAAAGGAAAGTGTATTTGGTCATTCAGTATTTTTTCCGTTCGGCTGTCAAACAGCGAATTCAAATTAAACCCTCTGAGAAGCTTGGGAAGAAAATGTATTTTTTTTAAAATCACCGACTGATACAAAAGCCACATAGTTTATGCGCTTATACCAACGTTTCATGTACGAAGCGGACGCAAAGCAAAGAAGTCGTTAACGAATCGGTCAGCCAAAGAAAAAGACACACTGGCGTTACAGTTAGAGTCATGTTTATTTACAGCAGAATCCTGAACCGAGAGAGAGAGAAGGGCAGAGGTTAAAAGGAGACAAAGTCCTTTCAGATCAGGCGCTTCAGGATTCATGTTTCACTACACAGTTCTTAATTTATTTACCATTCTTCTATACAGAATCCATTCAGCCGTAATATCAATGCGCCAACAGAGTGCGAGTCCTCTGCTAGAGGGGCGAAGAGTTGAAAAAAAAAAAAAAAAAAAGAACACAACAGGGTACGAAGGAATTCATTTTCTATAAAAAAAACATTTTTGTTGTTCTCACCATGATAGTAATCAATTATTTATGTATCTACATTTACACATATCTGTGTGTGTGTGTATATATATGCATACACACACGCACACACACACACACACATACATATGTACGCATATAAATCTATATATTTACTTTCCATGTCCACGAAGGGGTCTTCCATGATGTCCGAGTCCAGGCGGCTGCACAGAGCGGCAGGCCGAGAGTCTCGACCTGACAGCATCCAGGTCCTAATATTCAGCCGCAGTGAATCAGTCACAGGAGGTCAGAGCGGACCAATGGCAGTCTTTCTGACCAGTAACCTTTCTGACCCCGCATGCCTTTGTCCCGCCCACTCACGCTGCTCTTTGCAGGAGAGCGCTTTAGGTCCAGTTCCATGGTGGCGGCGAGCAGAGACTGCGGAAGCCCCGTCAAAGCGGTCTGAGAGATGATACACTGTACACGGAACATGCACGGCCTTCTAGGCCAGACAGCATAGAAAAGTTAAAAAATAAATTAAAATAAAAAAAAGCCAGTTTACTGCATCGTCCGCCCGTCTCTCCAGACTTCCTCTAGGGCAACCACTCACACCTTTTCCAGTTCAGTAGGACATGATAAATGACGAGCACCACAAAAACGGACCAAGTGGAGACAAAAAAAAAACATCCCGTGGGTGAACTGGTATTTCTAATTTCCGTTTTTTGATTTCTGAGAGAGCATAACGGATTTTATCCCCTCGCAAGGTCCAAACAGACTTTATTATGCAATGACTGACACACACACACACACACACACACGAAGCTACATTTGCAAACCACCCCAGTACGCTTTCCCTTATCTCCGTGCAATAGTCTTCCTTGACAGAGGTGAAGTTCAGATGACATGTGCTGTTGTGCTGTTCCCCTGACTTCTCTTAAGTCAGAATGTATACAAACCCATCAGATATCATCATGCTCAGACATTTATAATGTCTAAAGGTTGATGCTTTACGCGTCTCCATGGCCTTCAATACATGTACATTTAGGACGTGCACAAGAGAAATTACCCAGCGTGATGTATGATGATGTATCATGATGAAAAGTAACATAGCATACCGTAAAATGAATTTAACATTCATTTATTAGAAAAAAAAACAAACACTGTTTACATTTCCACCTGTCCCAAGAAAGACTGATAAAAACAAAATTGCCCCCTGTTGAGTTTTCAGTAACTTTTTACAAGTTAGGACACAAACCGTTTCCATTAGACATGTCGTGTGTTGCATGACGCCGTTTGATACAACACACTGGACCCTAGAGCAGGAAACCTTTTCATCGACCAGCTGCCAATGCAGATGTTAGGTTTGCTTTTTTTTGTGCCAAAGATCCATCAGCGACGTTTTTTATCACACAAGTCAACAAACTTTAGAAAACAACCGGCACGTGATGGATGCTCACCGGTCGACTCGATAAAACCTGGCAGCCATCATTTATACTAAAATTCCGCTGTTGGCTGGCGTCAGTTTCCCGCTCTATTCAACATGCTCCCGAACACAAATACAAACTCAAGATACCGCAAATACACATATATACAAATAGAACCGTCCCCTAAAATGCAGGGGGCGGCTTAACAATTTATAATGCATTTCTGTATATGCCAAGAATAAAACTTTTCTAAATAAAATACATAGTTATCTGTGAGGGCGTGGAATGGGGACAGCAGATGAACGGGGGGGGGAGGAGGCTGGGTGGGGCTCGTGGAGAGCGTCAGAGGGAGGGAGCCCCGGGTAACAAAAAAAAAAAAAAAAAAAAAAAAAAAAGCGATTGTGATGGGATGAAGGGACAGACAAAGAAAGCAGGGGGAGGAAGAGGGAGACGTATGGAGGGGTGAGACTCTTCTTCTTCGCGGTGTCGCTGCTCCCGAGCACTTTGCCACTGCGCCTCTTCTCAGGTTTGTTTAAATCTTCTATAATAATAATAATAATAATCATCATGATCACAAGAATGCTAAAAAATATCTATATATATATATCTATATATATATATATATAAACCCCAGCCATGTCTCACAAGTCCACAGAAAGGGGGGGCGAGAGGCCCCGGCCCTCGAGTTCATCAGAGTCGGTGACAAACGGAGATGCAGAGAAAATTAAAGATGCGGGGAGAGAAGGAAAACGCAGCGGGAGGAGGCCTGACGAATGGAACGAGCCGTGAAAGGGAAGTGGCAAACGAGACTAACTATAGAGCGGAGAAAAAGGAAAAAGGAGAGAGAGAGAGGGGAGGGGCGGAGAAAACCCCCCCGCCATAGGCAGGATGTGCTTTGATGAGGAGGAAACAAACAGAAAAGAGGAAGCGGCGGTGAATTGGGAAGGATGTAGGTTACCAACAATGAATGGTGTTGGGGGGGGCGTGGTGATCCACACACTGGTGTCCTTCGGAGGGTTTTCTTACAGAAGATTGGCGGAAAGCATGAACGAGTGATGACAACACGGCCTCACTGTGAGTGCGCCCTCTCTCCTTCCCCTCTAATTAAGGTAAAAAGATCAGCAGTCCTCCCCGCACTGGTCGCTCGTCCCAGGGTGCATCATACCTCCAGGAAGCGGGAGCTGCTGGTCTTGGTGTGGAAGGGCTCGGACCACATGCGCCGCAAATCCCCCTGCGGGCCGCAAACGCAGGTTCGAACATCAGTGAGGAATCAAAGCGAAGTCAGCGTAGATCATAAGCATAAAAATACCGTGTCAACCTGATAATTTGTCTTTAGCGAATATACTTGTGCACACTTCTAATACAGGAAAACTGATAACTTCTGGTAAACCGCCACGCTTAACTTGGCCGGTTGCTTCTGTAATGTGTAACCGTACCTTCAGGTAGGCCATAGTGAGCAGAGGCAGCAGGGTGAAGGGCACCAGGTAGAGCAGAGCGGGCTGAGCTGCACGATGGATCCTGGAGGCCACAGTGGCAGTCAGCAGACCTGAAGACAGAGTCAAATCATCAATACATTTCTTTTTGAAGTACAAAAAAAACAAAAAAAAAAACCCTCATAATGTGTTTCTGGGAAACCAACACATCGGCTCCCTGACACCCAGAACAATCACCTCTATCGAACCACACGCCATCGCCTTATAACCCTCCAGCTTGCTTTTTCTTACCCACAAAGTATCCGATAAGAGTGCAGTGGAAATAGGAGACGCGCTGCATGCGTCCAGACAGCGGGACCTCCCCGTTCGCCTGCTTCTTGTAGTTGTCGTAGCGCAGGACGAAGCACAACAGCAGCCCCGGCATCACGATGTCTCCTATTCCCAGCATCGAGAAGTGACTTCCTGTTGAGCTGCACGGGGTCGGAAAAAGAAGTGGAAATAGGTTTGGTGCGGGCGAAATACAGAGTGAGCGGGAACGTGCTTCACATGGAGTACACGGCGTAGTATCAGGCAATGAATGCAGCGCCATTTGATTCTGTACGCACATCTAGGTGGGGATCACTGGGTGTGAAATCTGAACAAAAGCTTCACAGCTCCGCCAGCTGCCTAGTGGGGTTATCTTGCCAATTACAGCAGCAAATCAAAGGGTTGGATTCATTTCCCTGCACAGTTCCACCGGTCTTACCTGGGGAAGACCAGTTTGCCAGGTAAGGAGAGACGGGGGACGTCGCGGCCCATCCCTGGTCCCAAGTGGAGCTTTCGGGACAGAACATCTATGGGATTTTCAGCAGGTTGGGTGGCAACTTTGACCATCACGTTACTATTGAAGATGTAGGCTGAGAAGAACACCTGGGGGAGAGGAAAGAGGAATTTAGCTGCTCGCATTGACACGTTCTCATTTCACTTGTCTAGGGCCCACTATCGTCTCAATGTCACTTATTTTAACATATTTCCTAATCTTGTTGAGACGAGCATGAAAACAAGATGCGTACAATTAGATTCTTAGATGACTATCAATTGATCAGAATACAATTCAGTATAGTTTAGATTGCAGCAATCGATTGTGAATCTCCAAATGTGCAGCCTGAGTTGCATGCTTTAAACAGCCTCAATTGCTGCTTCAACTTCTCAAAGCAGGCGGGGATAATTTATTCAATTCATCTAATGTTCGTCTCACATTACATTATCGCGAACATAAACGGTCGGAGGGGAAATAACACTGAAGGCAGGTTGCTAGGCGCCCGGCACAGTGAGGATGAGAGCAAGTCTGCGTGCTCACAGCAGACGTTTTTTTTTTTTTTGTGTCACTTATGATTTGTTGTGTCCGAGTTCAGTTTGTATTTCTGTGCAGAACATAGTCTTTACTGTGTGAGACGAAACCTGAGAGAAGCGGTTTTCTGCCGTCAAATGGCAATGAAAGTAGTGACAGCAACGGTTTAAAAATGAATAAAACGACCTGAATGAAACAGAAAATCTTAACAGACTACTTTGTTCAGCGGTTTAATGGAATGACCAGTTCCACAAACTAGTCAAAGCAACAAAGCAACCTCGCCCCCCCTCCCTCTGTCACTCAGTAACCCACTAACCCACTGATGCACATCCTCATAATAAAATCGCCATTCATGACACCGGGTCCCCTTGACTTTGGTGCCACTTTAGTTGCTAAGTGGCCATTGCTTTTGAGTCCTGTTCTCAGTGCCGGCGTGGATCCAAAAGAGGTGCCAGATATGGATAATAAATCAAACCTGAATCTACAAATGACCCAAGAAGACAGCTAGGGTAAAATGTTTGATCATTTCTCAAAAGGAAGTTGGGATGATCATCCTAATCATGCCGTGTAGCATCTCCGGTTGAATTGTGCAGCTGGCCCTCTTCTATTATAAGTTCAACCAAGGTCAACAGTCGGCGATTCAATCTCTACCCAGGCTGACAATTTCTTTATAAGCTAAAACATTGACATTTTATAACAGAAAGCAAATATTTGTAACCCTTTACTGATGATTGGGTCTCGTATATAGTGCCTGGAGGTGACGTTTTGGATGTCTTACCCAAAACACATCATAGATGAGCAGTCCTGACAGCAGCAGGCAAGACACCTTCAGACTGGGAAGCCGCACGAAGGCGATCATGGCGACACACAAGCCCATGGCTAAAGCTGCAGGGAGCAAAGAGACAGGAGATTTAAAAACGGAGTCTTGTAGTCTCGCCACTGTATTGTGATCATACAAACATAGTTCATAACAACAAGAGTCTTTGGAAATGTTTGGATCACACAATACAAATAGTAATAAGTAAGTAATAAGTGAGGCATTATCTTTACCTCACACAGAATACTCAAATATTGATTTAGAAATTGAATGTCCATATTATAAATAATACTTAAGCACCAGCCTACACGGTTGGCTAACTCCGTAGTCAATTCTTATATTATACAATAATCAAATGTATGGATAATACATTTGATTCTTTGGATTGTTTTCCAATTATATTTTTGATGATGATATGCTGTCATTTGTGTTAAGGGAGCGTTGTTTACTTTACTGAAGAAGATTGCTGGTAATAGGTTTTGAATTACTGAAGTCAACTGGGTCAAATTAATGGAGTGCACACACAACACACACTCTTTGTTTTGTCAGCAGTCATCTTAAATGCCAGTTAGTATTCTGACCAACATCGGTCTACTCATACCGTTAGCATTGGTCACACTAGTAAAAGCCCTAAAATAGTGTTGCTAAAAACGTCATGTTGTCATAATGTGAACTTCATTCTTCTGCAGAAGATGAGCAAAGGGAATCGTCTGCACGGAAGCCTCTATTGAAGATTGAGATGGCTGAATACATTTTGACTGTTCCGCAGCAGCAAAGTTAGCCGCTACGCTAACAGAACTGCTCACTCGCTTTAAATCACCGTCTAACAACCGGCAATGTTGGGAATGTGAATCCCAAACCACCCTGCAGTTCAGAGCGACGTCGCCAACCGCCGGATCATCGAAGATCACAACCGGCTGCGGAAAAAACATTTTTCCGGGGACCTTGAATAATGTCCACCGAATTCTGGTGACTGACACGGGAGTCGTGGCGGAGAGACGCACCGTCCATGAGGAGCCAGTGTCCGGTCAGCACCCAGATGAGCACCAACATGACGGAGAGGGAGAAGGACAGGAGCTCGGCCAGAGTGAAACGCCCACAGCAGCCAAAAGAAATCCTGCAGTAAGACAAATAGGAGACGCTCTCAATCAAAATCTCGTCTGTGTCGCACAGAACTAAAGCGGCTGGACGGGACGTCTGTGGGCTGCTCCGCGTACGGAAAGGGACATGCAAACATTTACATAATGGCAACTTTAATACTAGTTTTTGCATACTTAGCAGCTAGAACAACAAGACTGAGAGAGCATTGTTGTGTGAAGGTGAGACTATAAAACGAGAAAGAGAACAGGTTGTTCTTCCTCTGGAGTTCGTTCGGTTACCCAACAGCTTCAAGTGCATCAACACCTGATCCCAACTGTAGTAGGTGTAAATGAAAGAGTCTTTAATCTGGATTTTAACTTTACAAGACACATCGGCGCTTCCTACTGGTTACAGAGTGGATGCGTTGTGTCGTTTGGAATTACTTGTGCTGCAGATGTCCAAACACCTGAGGCCATTAAAAATTGTTTTGTGTGAAGAAGTAAAAATAATAATAACTAAACTAACTTCCCACTTTCTCCAAGCCAGACTATTAAGATCGCAGGCAGTTTCAGGTTGAACATTTGTAAGAGACATGGCAAACAGCTGGAGGCAGCTGGCGCGACAACAGAGGTGATTTACAGACACTCAGAATCCACACGATTCCCTTACTTGTTCTGCGGGGAACAGGGTCTGGTCAGATACTGGCACATCGGCAACAAGAGGAACGCAAATGCGATTGTTGCGAGAACTGAGGAGAAGAACAAATCACGGCAGTTAAATACTACTACTACTACTACTCGACAGAAAGGCGAACGCCTCCTCCAATGCGGTTCATTCCTATATGTTCAGGGGGGGCGGTACTCGCCTGCAGTGCAGATGGTGAAGACCACCTGTACCGAGTCGAAGAAGAAGAACATGACTAGCAGAGACACCGAGGCTCCTATGGGCAGGAACAGGGCCTGCGTGGAGTCTATAGTCTGAATACCTGCAAGCCAACACATGAGTAGCGATGACTTGTCAATTCAAGGAAAACACTTTGAATGGATCACCGGGGGCCTGTTCACACTCACTCACACTCACTGTTGTTTGTGTTGCCGTTGTTGAAACCGCCCGTTGTCGTGGGGTTGCCGTCTTTGTCCTTCTCCTGGTTCTCACAATCCATGTTTAATGATCTGCAGGGCGAGAAAGAAAGCTGGTTAGACTGACTGTAATCATGTAATCACATTGTCAAAAGCATGTAAACAAGCAAATATACTACATTGAGATCATTAGTGTGGGGAAGACGAAATATTTGAAAAGATGACTACATAAATAAAGATGAACTTGATGACGCCTCGACTAATAAAACCCCATGAGGCTGCAGTCAAACCCACTAAATATTAATTTTTCCCCTTATTAATGTAAATAAAAAATTATACATACGCAAGAAATGAAAGAAGTGTATGTCTATGTGTGTATGTGTATTGCTACACAACAGCGTTCAGGCTCTTTTCACTCGAGACCTTTTTGACAGTCACAAGAGTCAATAATGAAACGAATGAAGGCATTTAGCTGCTTGTGTCAGCATGCATGCGTGCCAAGTCACCGTCACACAGTCGTGGCTTTTCAGAAACACTTGACCAGAACGGAGCATGAACGTTACTAGTGGCACCGTGGCAGCTTCTCCTGCTGTGACAAGTCAAACATATCTGCCGTTAAAGGGAGCATCTCACAGGGCACAGGAGAGTCCTCCGACAGCGATGTTCATCGCACATGGATGTCATTTTTTTTTGCCAGCTGATATAATGCAAGTGACACATTGAAGGTTCCCATTTCAACATGGAATTACGTTGTTACGTTGTTCCGGCGGTCTTCTCCACCCACTCTTGCGAATGCCATACAGGCAATGGCCCTCATGAAGGTTAAAGGTCAAGGTCACTCACCTCATATCCATTCCATTTTCCTGATAGGCTGGGAAAACCTTGAGTGAATGTCTCAACATTTAACACGTACGCCTACTAAAGATCGAATGGATTATAATTTAGCGGTCGAAGGCACGGTGGCCTCACAAAACCTGTTGCTCAGAAATTTGATACGCTAATTGGGACGTCACACAAACGTCTGAAAGGATACAATAATGTGAAAGGGATGGCATTTAAAAACTAAAAAGGTCCTCGCTCGAACGCCAAACAAGACGTGCAAGCAAAGTCGCTGTCATTTGGAGACACTCACCTGAAGCTGCCATAGACGATGAGAAGGATGGAGATAAGGAAGGTGGACACCTGGCTGGAGTCCACTAGGGAGTACGCCCTAAAGAGGACAGAGAAGAATACAGAGGTTTAACAAAATGCTGTGTTGCACAGAGCCAAAGATATTCTATTCATCTGATACAAGTGTGCTTAAAATAAAAAATAAAAAATGCAAATCTTGTGGTTCAAAAGACAAAAAAAAAAAAAAAAAGACAAAAAGAACCAGCGGTCAATTATGAAAACCAATGAGGCTAGAGTGAAGCATAAGTTCTGGTAGTATTGGAAATTCCGAAGAAAGGAGTTATTTGGTAGCATTCATGGAGAATAAGTATTAAGAGACCTGGTTAAAAAGTAACAGGACAATTAAGATGAAATACTTCTTAATCCTACAAGGGGAAATAAATTACTTTATACACACACACACACAAAAAAACTTGTATGTGGTTTTATTTGTTATATTGTACGGCACTGGGCTTTTCGAAAAGGTGTAGCTACTCATTCACATTTGAATCAGTTTTAAACATTATGAAGCGGAATGTATGGGTTCTATTTTTAATAAAAGGACCCAGACCTGTTTCAAACACATATAAAGTAACATAATACAAATAAAATATAAACAGGCAGAACAGCCTGCGATGCACAAAGCCCCGCCCCTTGAACGCAGACCGCCCAATGACTGCGTAGCATACGTTAGCTATGACCAAGTTCCGGCATCGGTTCGGCTTCCTAGAGCGGGCACGGAGGAACTACAGGGGGAGCGCCACTTCCATCAGCAGGCCACACACAGGTAAACAAAAATAAAATCAAGCAGAACCAACGTGACAACGTTGCCCATTGAACGCTCGGGTGGGCCTTCAATGTTCCTATATCATCAAAGGGGTCTCGACAGAAAGAGTTTGGGAACCACTCCATTAGAGAAAATAGACAACTCATGCCAAAAAAAAAAAATCTAGACACATGCATGCACCATACACCCTTCTGAAGGCAAAAGATTGTTCGGGTTTGAAACTTAAACTTTAAGATAATTCCCTTTACAACCAACATTACATTACATTACAGGTCATTTAGCAGACGCTTTTATCCAAAGCGACTTACGCTTTTAACTCACGGCTTTTCACATTTTTGCCCAGGGAGCAATTAGGGGTTAGGTGTCTTGCTCAAGGACACTTCAACTTGAGACATGGGGCAGCCGGGACTAGAACCACCAACCTTGCGGTTCCCAGCACACCCGCTCTACCCCCTGCGCCACGACGACCAACCAATACGTTTTCCCCCCTCAGCAAAACTCGACCGGATTCCCTGTGACGAACATGGCATTGGAGCCCCATCACATTCTTTATTTTTAGATCAGATGATTGAATGTGCACATAAAAGGACATGTAATGCAACGTAAAGGCGCCGGGAACGGTGGAAACATAATCATTTATTTTGGAGGGGCAGCGGACGACGGGGAGGATTCCACCATGTCAACCGGTGACAGATTTCTTGCGTTTATCGGGCCTCGCCCCTGCCAAAAATAATCTAAATTCCTCTTGACCTACATCCTCCCTTTGCCATCTGTTTTGGAGTATTGTGAGGAGGACTAGACAAAATAAACAGTAGCTGATGAAGGGCGTCCTAATCCAAGTCCCCGGCCAACGGATGCGGTTAAAGAGTGGTCTCCCTTCAGAATGAAGACGGGGACATCTTCACTGGCGGTTGTAAAGATTACACATCTGCTTATTATTTAAAAAGAAGAAGAAAAGAGCCAGTAGCAAAGGCATATTCATTTCAATCCCCCCAAATCAATGCATAACATTTTATATGAACATACACTGGAACAGCGCTACACCCGAGTAAGACTACATCAGCGTGCTGATATAATGTGTGGATGAGTGCTGGCCGACAAACAACAAGTAATTAAAGCACATTATGGCAAAATATAGGACGAGCTCACAAAAAGGTATCGCGTTTAGAAATACAGAATAGTTTCAGCTGCGTGAGTGGATGTTTGATTGCACAATTTCCTGCTCACTATCTAATAAATAATTGAGTGTTTATTATATCGAGAATAATAAATGAGACAAATAGAACGAAAGCAACAAAGGGGGAAAAGACGGCGGAGGGAAAGTCTTTCAAGCCATGTTGACAGATGCTTCACGCCGGAAACCACTTTAGCAAAGAAGAACAGGACAACTGCTACACTACAAGATACGGTTGAGATGAATGAATGGAACAACAGGTTCCTGCCACTATTTCCTACTACTGGCATTTCCTTTTTTTGTCAAATTTTGATTTCCTGAGCTGTGGGTCATATATTTTTATCTCCCGCTCCACTACGCAACTTGGTCACACGGGTCAGGTAGGACGGGAAGAAACTAAATATGTACACAAGGAAAAGTATCATGCCCACATAGAGAAGCCTGGTTATGCAGCATGAAAATGGGAGTTAGCTGCATCATGGCCTGAGCCAAGTTACTTTACGTGGATACTGTCTGCCAAAACGCTAATTAAATAAAAAGGTCAAAATTTGCATGTGTAGAAACACACCCCAGTTCTGGGTATTACTGGGCAGCATAACTAGTTCTTTCAAGTACTGACAGAGACAACAGCCCTCGCATAACAACCGTCCGCGCTCCAAATTACTTTACATTCTGGTGAGGGTGTAACGCAGGAAATCACAGGTTACACTGTGATGCAGAGGTGGAGGAAGAAAAAAAAAAAAAAGAAATCATTCAGTGGGAGAGGAATGACTACGGGCAGATCAGGAAGGAGGGGGGTGCAACATGTAGTGCACTGTGGAAAAGAGACACTGGGAAAATACGGCATCACGGGCCGGTTCTTAATTCAGATTCCACAGACAACAAGGCTGTTAACACGTGACGCCAAAATAAACATGACACCCCTCCGTGCTTTTTTCAGTCTTTGGAACTACTCAACTGGGCAGGTTTAAGCGTTTTGCCAGCAATTCGGCCTAAAACATTAAGACGGCTTGATTAAGGAACTGGCCCCGTTCTTCCACACGCGGACCCACGATGACGTAACCGCCTCGCTGTCAACACGGCGAGCAGATAAGACAGCTCGTCGCATCTGCCACGGACCTCATTCATATTCTAGCATCGAAACCGGTTTGTCCGAATTCTGCGCACAGCAGCGGGTAGAACATGGGTGAGATGGATGAATGGAACATTTTAAAACAAAACACAATCCCGGCCTGTTGGGAGCTGGATGGCAGCCCAACGTGGCCATAAGATGTCCTTGTTCGCTGACAGAGTAGGTTTTCAATAACACAATTCCAATACCGTCCCCCAACAAGCCGAGGTCGAACGCATGACTTGACCATTAAGAAGGCCGGGTCACAAAGAAGACTTTCACCGATGCTGCCCTGTGAGCCGGGCACATGAAAGATATCGTACTCGGTTCTCACCAGATTACACGCACCATGATAACACTAATATATATATATATATATATATATATATATATATGTTGTGAACTTAACAACATGCACTAATATTCACCCCAGTTCACATTAGCTACTGGCTGAGTTTCCCACCGGTCTATTGTAAATGATCCATAATCACAGGTTAGAGCCTTCAGGTAGGAGACTGTATGACCTTTCTGCCTCTACAAAAGAAAAGTACAGCTCCACGCGCGTCACCGCTCCTGTGCCTGTACGCCCTACGGCGGTATTGTTCCCATCCCGTTTGAATGAGGCCGAGGCACGGGTAGACACTTCCAGGAGAAAACACGCCTACATCAACGGCTGGCCCACAGATTACCGATCATTTATTTTCAGAACCCGCGGGCACTGAGCCGTAGACTTCGAGACGCATTCGATCCCTGTGCGTTCAAATCGAAAACTATTTAGCCGTTGACATTCTGATGGCTAATCTTAAATGGGGCTTTTGTTCGAGATGCAGGCAACAGGTGTTGCTGTTTGAATCTGTCAGATTCAAACAGCAACACATAGTCAGGCGTGCTGTAGATGAGTAATGGGAGAATGGCACAGTGCCTTTTAGTGTACCACAGGCAGGCATTTAAATAGACAGATGTTAATCACTACTGTAGTCTTAGTTTAAATATACCGAAGAGTATATTTTCACGGTCAGGAAGGGGGTTGTTAAACTAGATGGTCTTCATAAAAGGATTTGGGGATAAAATCTTAATGACCATGTAAAGGGATCAATGGAAAAGAAGTCCCGGTTGAACAATGTATGGCAGCATGTATGTTTTATTTGTTTTTACTATTAAGGACAATTATTTCAGATTATATTTCGGAAAAAAAACTTTATAAAATCAGTGTGATAATAATTTCTTTAAAATATCCTCAGAAATGGCAGGTTAAGCCGTCACACCAGTGAAGACGGCGCCATGTTATAAGTTTCTATGTAGGCTGATGTAATAACTGTAATGACTAATGTCAGGCAGCGAAGAAATCCCCCCATAAGCTCCTCTTTTTGAATACTCTGTGTGCTGGATTGCACATGAAGAAAAACGATTGTTGATGATGGCAAATATATTGAAACAATCACTAATAACCTTGAAAATGTGCAGGTACCACGATGAGCTTTGAAAACATTTTGCAAAGGCACGAGCAAACAGAGATATCGTTCCTGGTTGCGTCTTCCTTGTGAGGGCATTCGACCAGCATCATAAACCATCATGAAACAAGATTAACCTTAACGGAGCGTTGCAAACAATGATCATATTTCATGGCAGGATTTCACACTTACAGTTGGACTGATGGCCCATACCGTACCCGCGAACACCCCAGGGCAGTGCGGGCAGAGCGGTTTCACGCTACGACATTTCCCCTTTGGCCTCGTCTACTGAGCAGAGAGCGAGAGCTGGGTCGTGTGAAGCGAGACGGCACCTTTGTTTACCAATTGCCAAAAAGTGTTGTCTGCCACTTTCCCTGCAGACATGTGCGAGCACGTCCGTGTCCGACACCGAACCCATCGCCTCGTGTTCACCTTCGATCGTTCACTCGGCTGTAATGCTCATCGTCTCCTTTCCGCTCCACATCACAAACTTGTCTTTCTCGGTCTTAATAGAAAAACTCACTGGAACACTTACATCTGGCCTTGAACATAATTTAAGATGGATCCTTTGGGTGTTCAATAAAGCGTGTAACTAAGAAACTAAAGTTGAGAAAAGGCCCAATTGCAGTGAAAGCTTTGAAGAAATGTTCAGGCAAAACATAATGGTTTATTATTCAAGATGCTTTTTTAAAATCTCCAAACAAACAGATTAAAAGGTGTTTATGTGATTGTGTAATTGATCTTGAAGGACAAGTAAAACCACACACACTATGAGACAAATGCGTGGGTTAAAAACAATAAACAAGGATGTTGCACGCAGCCGCAAAGGTTGTGAACGTGTCATCAAACCACAACAGGCAAGCCATCAAAAAAAGCCACCTACAAAACCACACGCCTTCGGTGTGTTAGGTGCCTAGAAAGTTAGGTGTGGTGCTTATTGGCAGTCCATCCAGCATGCAATGTTGGACTGGATCTTCTAAAACTATTCTTAATCAACTGCCTCAAATGCAAAAAATGATATTATAATGTTCATTATCGCCTAATGGAATAGCTTCGAAAGTGCATTATCGGTTGTTGTTTTTTTGAGCTTGTAAAGCAGTACGGGGTCCAACGACTCATGACGTGTCGCCATAACAGACACAACAGGCAATTCAAGGATTTTTTTTCCAAACGGCCGCATGATTTGTGCAACAAGATGAGCTGGATACAAAACAGCCAGCTGTTTGTTTGAAAGGGGTCAATGAAGCAGAGCCAATATAACTAAGTTATTTTACCTAAATGGTATGAAGGAAAACACAACCTACAGAGACGTTTGTAACGATGCCACAGCAAGGGTTTCACACGCCTGAGTACTGATGTGTATGAACGGCATTCCATGAACTAGTCGTGAACGTAAAAAAACACACAAAAAAAACAACACGCCTGAGCCGGTAGCTCGTAGTGAACCGCTCAAACAGCACTACGGGACAGGCTACATCGAACTCGCCTACAGCATTCGCCTGAACGGACCGTGACTGGGCACTGCACTTTTACAAGAACCTGGTCGACTGTGACATGCCGTATGTCAACAAAGCAGGGGGAAGCTGGGGTAACAACACATGCAGAGTGGGGGTGACTTCATGCTCTGCTCAGGTAGACACTTCTGCACGCTTCATGTCGCTATGGGGGACGGCTGCTATGTTGATTCTCTGATAAATACAAGCTTTAGCTGGTGTGCCGTCTTTGCTCACCTCTCAGGGGTTTTTTCTCCCCCATACCGTAGATGCAAATTTGAGTGACTAAACAGTCTATGAAACTTCTGTTTATACACGAAAAACCAGAACAAAATGTCAGACTCTGACAATAGCTCACACAGAGAACAACGTAGCATCAACGGCCCAACCAGCATATTATTCTCAGTTGATGTGGATATGAGCCACATATACTTTATTATGCAGGTTTTTCCATGACTAATCCCCCCCAAAACGGTTCATTTATTTATGAAAACCTTTCCGGACGTAGACATTGCCATATTTCAAATTCCATGACATTATTTCAGTATTTTCAGGACTACGCAAATGCTGATCTCTGAAGTTCTCTGGTGACGTTTAGGTCATTTCTCACACAATCGATTGATCACCATCAAACAATTACAATTCATAACTGGAAAGAAGCTCTGGATTCCAACTGTTTCACTGAAAACCTACAATATCCAACCTCTATTAAAAAAACACTGTCCTGGGCAAAGAAATTGGTAATTAAATCCAATGAATTGAGTTTGTTTTCATACTACATTTAAAACTTACTAATCGTTTTTAGGAACCTAGTTCTGACAATACTTTAGGCCTCAGTACACATTTGTTAGAATAGACAAGTCACAAAGAACATCTCAACGGCAGAAGCAGCTTTAGTTAAGTGACCTAAGATTTATAGACGTAATGTGTTAATACCTGAACGACGGCTGTTATCTCCAGTAATCGCAATGTGACATCAAATTAGATTTAGTTAAATCCCTAAGATCAATAAACACAGCATTTCCGAGGACCTCCACCATTCAATGAACCCTGTGTGCTCTTTGAGACGTATTCGTTTGGAGCGTTGCAGCTCTAAGCACTGTGCGAACATTCAACCAGTGTTTAAAAAAAAAAATGTTTATTAGGATCAAACGAGCATAATTTATCCTTATTTTATTATAGAGGCCTCAGCGACGTCCGGACATATTCATTCAAGGGGGCAGCGCGATTCAGTGATCACATCATCCGTCCGCCTTCCTTTCATACATCTCCTCTCCAAAGCGCTAATATTCAGCTATGAAGTGAACACGGTTCCCAGTCGGTGCACTTCACGCGTCCTCGCATTTTTTGTGTGTGACAACCTGTCGTGTGTCACAATGCTAAACCTCACCCTGAAACGTTTTGGGACATGACTGCGATGCCAGTTAGCCAAGTTAGCTTAGCTACGCGGCGGAACCTTTGTTATTGTGTGCAGCGGATCGACGACGACTGCTAGCCGTCTGATAAGCTAACACCGATCCGCTGGCACGGTTAACGTTCACCAATCGGCGTCGGCACCATCGCGCAGTAGCGTCACAACTTTCACCAGGCAAGCGCGTAGCATGTCAGCGAGCGAGTAATGACCCAAATGAGCTTATCGAGCCGTTAGCTAGGCGGCTAGCTCCGTAGCGCTCGCTCACAATAGCTCCGTTGGCATTGACCTAAGCTAGTTAGCACTAGCATCAGCTGGTAAAACTGATTAGCCACGGCTAGCTACCCAGCCCGTTTAAGTTAGCCGTTAGCAATATCAGAGCTTCAAGGGGGGGTGGTGGTGGTATGGGGGGGGGGAAGGGATTAGTGACATTTCACACGTTACGCTGCGATAAATGCATCGGAGGGGGGGTCGGTTATTCCGTAAATTGTCACAGAATACGGTTCGTTGATTTAGTGACCCAACGTTATATCATCGGGCTGAGCGGCAGTAGCTAGCTGCTAACGTAAGGCAGCTAACGTAACTGCTAATCGGTAGCGCGATGCCTGTGCGCACTCACCAAGATGAGTAGCCCTGCTCCGCCATATCGCCGACAACAGTGGGTTCCGCGACGGTGGCTGACGCCGATTCAGGCTCCCGGTGACAACCCGGCGGGGTTTCTGCGTATCCTTCACAATTCAACGTCGTAGCAGTTACTTTACGGTGACAACATGACGAGACATCCCGACGGCAGCTAGTGGTCACTAGCTGAATGTGTTTGCGATTGAAATTGGAATGATGGTTTGCAATCGTTGGGTGGACAAGACAAAGCACCCCGAGAGAAGAAAAAAAAAACACGGGATATTTTTCGTCAATGTCCCGCCGTCAGTCCAGCCGCGAAGGCTCGGTCTCCAACGATGCTACAGCCACTGTAAATCCATAATTCCGCACGATGTATCCAGAATATATTCAGATATCTCCTCGAGTCTGCACCCGCTCGCTGCTACGGGAGACGTTCAGCTTTGTTTTCTATGGCGAGTCGCGGGAGCGCGCAAAAATCGCCCTGCTGTAGAGCGACAGAAGTGGGACGCGCACTAAAACGCTTTTGTGCGCTGAAAAATGCTCGCAATGGTTTCCCTTCAGCTTGTCGTTACACACCTACGACCGAAGCCGCCCCCGGCGTTACGTAGATTATACAACGTTATTCGTGTTGTTATTATTGAAATGATTGCCGAGTCGCTCGATATTAGTGTAAACGTGATTTTGGATTGCGGACGACGTGCTGATGAACAGACAGCCCCTCGGTGTTGGGCTTATTCAATAACTAGAGAAGCAGGTGCTTGTAGAGGCGATATACAAAGAATAATTGGTATAGATTAGCCCTTCCAAATTATTTTTGAATCATCCAATGGTTTAAAGAGTTATCTGTAACAGTTTATTTTAAATCCGTTTTGCTTCAGGGGTCTAATGGTCTTAATCAAAAGAAATGCATCAGATATCAATTAGGCTATAATACAAAACAAGACGCAGTAAAGCGAAAGCACAACTACACATTTCAATTAATTCAAATGACCCAATAAGGCTTTACTCATTTATTTTCTTGTTTCCATTAGCAAATACATGTTGTGGTGCCCCCTGAGGCGGATTCATGTAATAATAATAATAGAGAAAAACGCTGGATCCAGTGGTGGCAATACAAAAATAAAGTAAACACTTCGGATGCAGCAAATGATGAATCAAAAGTATTGGAGGGGACACATGTTTCCAATGGAGACGGATCCCAACAGGGTCCTCTGATAAATGTTGGCAAACCGGGAGCCTGCAGATGTGCTCTGCAAAATGTTTATTGCAAGGTGGTTGAATTGTTTAGTGCACTTCATTTGTGCTTAAATATGATTGCCTTTACTCATACCAAACATACAACATACCATTTATATTTGCCACACTAGAGGCTCAAAGGGTGGCAATGTCATCATTGTGAAATGAATCCCATGCTTGCCAATAGGAAACTTAACCTAAAAGAGCTTAGCTCATGCCAGACCAGGCAGTGTCTTTCCTGTAGATAAGGATGGTATTAGGGTTTAGAATGGGGTCAACGGGATTCCCTCTTGCCAAAGAGTGCAAGGATTACCGGAGCCTGAAAGACCTGATTTTCTTACAGATTATGTGCATTCTGTGCTCATCAACAAAACCTCATATTCACAGGACACAGCAGCAGCATGGTGGTTTACCAAAGGGTTCATTCTGCCGCATCTGCCGCTGCTGGACTTATAAAAACAGTGGTTCCATTAATATTGTCAATTCCTTTCAATAAAGGCCTCAAGTGGATGTCCATCTCTTTAAAAACATCTGCTTCATATAGATGTCAGCTACATGACAGCTTCTGAGAGGTGTGGATATTACATGCAGCGTAAATTGGGCTGACTGTTTTCTTTTTCAAATGATCATTAAATTAAATGAGCTCATTTATAATTAAATACAATCATATTTTTTACTCATTTAAATATTTTGTGGTCAATCCCAAAGGAATTCATCCAAACACAAAATCTTCCCTCTTAACAGTGCAGTACATCAGATTGACCGCTAGATATCAGCCTTTACTTTGAAAAGGTGGACACGTAACACAGAGTGGCGTCATACTCCCACAGTTTACTTCCACATGCAGGCGTGTACTCTTTACCACATTCCCATTCGTATCTTTTCATGAACCACTATTTGGTGCTTTAATTGATGCAGGTTCCACATCAGTTACCACGATGCACTTTGTTCAGGGCAATGCATCGTTTGCAAAATGTACATTTTACAGATCAGAATTATGGACAATGATTTTTTTCAGACTTTTCCCTTCCTCGTTGTCAGCTGAGGAAAGGCGCTGACTGGCTGTACCAGAGGCCTCAGTTGTCTTCCTGAGTAGCAAAACACAATGAAACCCATTTAACAGGGTGACTGGGTGCCCTGTCAGTACGCTGCAGAAAGTTCCAAATTCCAAGTCCTGTGATTGTGAGCAGCAATAAACCTTTAATTGTCGGTTTTGTTGGTTCTGCAAACAGTGAATTACTCTTTAGCTTAGTCGGAGGACAACAATGTAGATAACAATGTCTGATAACTTGTACTCGAACAATATCTGCACTTCCTGTACAACCTGTGCAAAGGTCAGAGAGAATGAATTACTAGAATAATGCAGTTCTGGCATCCCTTCCAAGTCAGTAAATACCTTGTTTTAAAAATATCTCCACCTTCCAACACTCACCCGAGGTGAAAGTTTGAGTTATTGTATCACAGTGATTCTCCCAAACGCGTCTTCAGGGTAGGATGTTTGGATTAAAATGCTGAGCTTTAGTGAAATAAAGCAAACTTTGCACATGTTTAGTGATACGCCTCCCAATTCGGCAGGTATCATCCCTCGCTGGGGATCACGATACCAAACCACCAGTCACACAGACTGCACGCTGACTGTCCCGCTGACAAAAGCAGAAGTGACTTTTACATCCCTGCTGTACACCGTTTTCAGCCTAAAATGGTGTCACGCTGGCTGCTAATCTTTCCCCTCTGCAAGTTTAACTGGCAGCAAAGGTGCCATCGCAGACGCATCATGGTAGATCACGACATTTGCTAAAGACCGATGATCGGAATTTATAGCTCGCAATTGAGTCCGGAACTCTGCAGTCTCTCCCCTCCCTCTCAAGCGGAGTCAGGGGGTGAACGCCTGTTTGAAGCTCTCCCCCTGGGCTCCGGGGTTCTGTGGGATCCGGGTGTGCTGACACTGTTATCACGCCTGATATGAGAGCCTGATCAAAGCTGGCTCATTCTGCCTGACCGATTTCCACAGGATTAAGGATTAGGGAGACAGGAAGCTGGGAGAGGCACAGAGACAATCTGGGAGAGACAAAAAAGAACAGTGAGGTTTACGGGGAGCGAAAAGGGATGAAACGATGTCGAAGGGGTCATTAAGCGCTGGCAGAGAACACCTTGAGAAGCTGAAAGAAAAAGTCAGTGAAGAAAACAAAAAATCAGTTTATTAATAAGAGGAACAAGAGGGAAACACAAACGAATGCATTTAAAGTGTTTGTGTAAAACACAGAATGCAGCTTGTCCCGGTGGGAGATCACTCACCTTCTGTTACAAACCAAGAGGAACGAGCTGTGCTGCAGCTCATCAAGTGTTAACTCTGACAAAGCCTTCTGTGCTCCAATAGTGAGATGTTGAAATCAATTCTGAACCTTACAGGGAGCCAGTGTAGAGCTGCTGGATGTTGGAGAGGGGGGCAATATGATCTTCTGTTCTTCGTTTGGCGAGCAGCTGCTGCAATTTCGCAAAAGGGATCCTATAGTCATTCAAATGCAAAAAAAATACAAGAGGCCTGCGTCATGTTTTAGGGTCAACGAGTGACAACAAAAGGATTTGGGGAAGCAAAGACAGAGCACGTTTATCATCATTACAGCAAATATCCGAACCATTCATAACCAAGGGTAAGGTGAATGCAGCGCCATCGGTGGCCACCACACAGTCTTAATAGTGAGGCTGTAAAAAATGATTTACTTAAATCCTTCTATATTGAAAAAGGAGGATATTTAGAGTAATAGATCCAAATGAGCATTTGAACAAGCTCTCACAAAGCCAAGAAGCTTTGGAAACCTTTTGGGAGGCAAAGTGGTTGTTAAATGGCAAAAGGATACATTATTAAGGCCGGTCACCATGTGGAACTTGTTTGATCTGCAAGTTGCATTTCTATCAGCCTGACAGATGTCCTCATTCCGGACTGACTGATTCATATCCAAGAACGTCAAAACACACAACGTTGTGATCCCACCTGGAGATGCATCTCCTGGCCGATGTGGTCAGGAGGTTCGACACAGGTTCGACATTTCGAAGGTTTAGCTCAAGTGGAAAAAAACTTGTGACATCTTCTCTGAACAGGCCCTTATCAGATGTGTTTTATGTGACTAAAATGAACAGCACATCCTGCTGTGGGTTTGTAGCGGATAACAGTTTCATGCAGATGACTATTTTGCACCATTGCCTGCAGGTTTCGGTAACTTTTCGAGAAGTGCAGAGAGTTCACTTCCCAAGTCGAAACCCAGACCTGATACATTCATGCAGTCCGATTCCTCTCTACTAAAGAGGAAGCACACTATGCGTCGAGGTTAAGCATCTGTTGAAGGTAATTTAATATCACAGTGAGGGAGAAAGTGACAGGGAGGAAGACTGGGGACAATTACACCACCTGCCCGCCACATTGGATGAAAGGTCAGGGAGAGGCAAAGCGGATCGCCCCCACCAGATGTGCGCTCGCTCTGGCCTTTAGCCCATTAATTATCTCACAGTTCATGGCACCATGCTTGATGTCCAGGCATTTTCATTACACCACCCACCCTGAGCAACATGATCTGGGGATTTTGTCTCTCTGTTGTACAGTGTGATTCGGGAGGCATCCGTAATGACAAGGCAATAATTCACATCATGCTCCAGCGCTGCAATCACTATGTTTCCATGTGTTCATCATTGCATCTGTTCTCTATGCTTCTCATGGTCGAGCCCAAATCATAAAATAATAATAAAAAAAGAAAAAACACCCATTCACACCCCATAGCATGCTGCCTCATTTGCCCAAAGCCCTATCAATTCTCGGTAATAGCCAATGGCAATAAAGGTAGTGGTTCCACTGTCACAGAAACAGTTGGCACGGAAACAGCACATTACACCATCGTCCAATCCCCATTCCTTTGTCGTCATTACTCCCCTCCCCTCTCCTCTCCAGTCCCTTCCTCCTCCTCCTCTTCCTCCTCATCCCTCTCTCCCTATCTTGTATGTTTTTTTCAGTCATCAATGAAACGCAACCACTCCTGCTGCCGGCCCGTCAGCAAACCAAACGATACCTCAACAAACAGACCTCACTCGCTGTGTCCTCTCCATTCCAGTTGGAGGCCAATGTATATTTTATCATTAAAGCATTAAATAGAGATACACTGGCTGCATTAGCTACCCGTCAAAGCCTGTTTTTTCTCTCTTTGTCTGTTACTGTCATGATTTAATCCTGACCATTTCCACCCCCCCCCCCCCCTTCTCTCTCTCCGTGCCTGCTGACTCCTCCCTCCTTTTCTGTCCTGCACTCCCTCTCTTTGCCTCTCTGTCTCTGACACACTCAAACGCACGCACACATATATACACGCCCTCCACCCCCATCGCTGCAGTGTCTCAACTGCCTTGGAGCAAACGAGAGGATATAGAACGCAGGCGGCAATAAGACAGAGGACGAGGGCTGCTGAAAGAGAGAGGGACAGAGATGTACTCAAGTGTGTGCGTGTCCCTGTGAATGTGAGGAAGATCTGAAGTTGAAGCAGCAGGACTAAAGGTGGACTGCACACAGCCTTTCTCTCCCTGTAAGGGCTTGTTCTGCAGTACCCTTCGTGAATGGATGCTGGCTTGTGAACACGGTGAGTCTGACTACTCACAAACAGACGCAACACTTCTTTTTTTTTTGTGTGTAATTACTGCAAGGCGGCTCTGCTTTGGACTGGATGCCATTTCGTTGCAGTGATTCTGTGCAGGGGACGAACGTGTTTTTTTCCCGATAAAATGGGGAAGGTGATGTTCAGAGATGGCACCACGGCAGGCAGGCAGGCAGACAGGCAGGCAGCCTGTCCAGTCCCCTCCTCCACCCTGCTAGCTCAGTGCCAGCCGACGCCGCTGCATCTCATGCTCACAATTTGACTCATCGTCCCCCGAGAGCATCCTCAACCCATGGAGAATGTTTTCATCTGAATGCTTAGTGCATGCTATCACTGTATGTAGGACGAGTGAAGGATCCATCAAAAATGTGTGTGAGGGTGTGTGTGTGTGTGTGTGTGTGTGTGTGCGTCCAGGCCACAATCTAAGAAATGGACAGCGAGCGTAAAAGCACACTATCAGGTGTTTAATACTTACAACCGGGCTGGCGAGGTAGAGAATGTGAATTTGCAGTGGGAAGTGTTCAAATCCTGCGAGGCTCGTAAGATAAGCGGGCGACACTGCGAGCTTGACAGCAGCACAGGAACGCTGTAGGATTTGAGTGGAGCTGTTTGTCCGCCGTTGTTTGAGGGAAAATGTACGTTGCCATTCATTAATAATCTACAGATGGGATTCATTTGGTCGAGTAGTGTTTGTTTGTGAACGTGAAATCTTAACGGCGAGAGGGGGCAAGAAGGGAGAGCACGTCCATTACGCTCTGTGGCGTTTTGGGGTTTCAGCAATTGTTCATCTTTACCAGAGTTTGAGCGTATTCGGCCTTGGCATTGGTAATCCAGCATCAGGAGAGCATGTGTATTTGTGCGTACTGTAGAGAGAGAGGGAGAGAGAGCCCGTGCAGGGAGGGGTCGAGAGGCTGGGGGGGTTTAACAGTATGGAGGCAGATGGGGCAGAGGGGCGGAGGTTGATGCAGCAGAGAGCAAAAGAGAGGGAATGAAGGAAAGAGAAGATTTGGAACAGATTGGATGAAAGGCCGTCGGTGGAAGGACAGCGCCTTCCTGAGCGCGTGAAACGCAAAACAAGATGTGCCCGCGATAGTTCCAGCGGCGGCAGCTCGCATCGGGTACCTGAGACATTTGTGAATCAAGGCAAAGATGGAGGATAAATTCCATCATGGCCTTATCTCTTGAGCACTACTGATACTAAAATGAAACATAGATTGAGTAGATTGATTGAGACTTTTGCTGAACCGGTGTGATGTTGGACGATTCAGGTTTGTGATAAACGACGATTACACCGCGTTGGAATATTGATCTCTGTCATAGTGGAAGGCTGACAGATTGAAACAAGCCTGTGTGGGCAGCTGCAATTTGAATTTATTGTTTGTAATAGAAAGAAGATGCTTAGCAAAACGGAATTCGGATTATTAAGCAGGATATTGTCTCTACTATGCTTTATTTCCTTCTGACCTCAAACGTATAATGTTAATGAATCAAGAACAAATGAATAGTCCTTACGTTTTCTAGGTATATTGTTGTCCGTGAAGGGTCGGTTTCATTAAAACTTCAAAGGGTCTGAGTTGTGATTTAGGGCGGTTCTCAAAATGTGCAGATACTTCATCTTCATGATGCCCTTTCAAGTAAAGATGCCCGTCAAAGCAGTGGCTTAAGATATGACAGCCGCGATCAAAACTACGTATACAGCAAGAAATGTTTGCATGCAAATAACATTTTGTATTGAAGACGGTGCGTCGCCGTCTGTGTTTTTAACCCACTCGGTCCAGTTGGGATTTTGTTCTCCTCTCAATATCAACTATCACAGTCAAACCGAGGTCACACCCACTGTGACAAAAGCTCCAATCATCCACGATGATGTCCGTTGTATTTAAACTTTTCTTCTGCAAGCTGTGGAATAATATCACAAATAACAAGTGACCTTGGATTTCACAAGATGGATGAGGAGGTCATTGGTAACATTGAACATAATATATACAATTGGTTGGATATTTGATGAACTTTTCCTAACCCAAATACACAAACCGCAACATGAATTTTTTAAAAGTAAGTGGAATAAACGTCAAATAAATTGAGTGTTGAACCTCTTCTAAAAGCATCAACAGCTGGTGTTTGTATTCTCTTTTGCTTCAATGGTGAATTCAGGGTGCCACCACTCAGGCAGCCTGTATGCATGTAAAAATGCCGGCAACAGTGTGACAAAAACCTATGCTGGTTTGACCTCCTTCCACCTCCTTTGTTAGCTGCTACATCCACTCCTCTGGGTGACATAATGTCAGGGGACAGTGGGGACAGACTTGGGTTTAAAGTGACAGCGGCTGTTGAAGAAGCCGCCGTAGCACCGAGAAGGCCCATCTGCCCCGTTGGTGCACTTTCGGCCGTCTCACACCGTTGAGGTGAGCATACAGTCGGAATGGACGATTAAACTCAGCTCTACTACACTTAGGTACCGAGGGGGGCCAAACATAGTTCCCTCGATATCCCACTTAATAAAATGATTCATGTAAGATGCCAGCTTTGAATGAACCTCATCTTATACATTTGCTTTAGTCATAGTAAGAATTACCTTCAAATATTTTTGGCTGAGGCGATGAAATACCCTTTTAAACCACGGGGAAATACGTGTCCGTGAAGTGCGACCTCTTAGTGGCGTCGCCACTCTACCCTCGCACGGGGCATTGCTTTGTTTAAGCTGGCTCAGCATTTGTGGTTGTTTTGGGTCTTTAATCCAGGTACAGGGACAAGCGTCATGTGCGCACAAACCAATCGGAGACAGTGTTTGGCAGACAGGCCTTTTCCATCGGAGACAGATGTAGAGAGGACTAATAAAGGACTTGACGGTGAAGCATCAGCGAATAAAGCTGGCAGCTGCATCACACAAATTCTCAGGGCGGGGCTCCGTGAACGAGTAAGTTATCTGTTAAAATTTTTTTTTTTTATTATTGCGCTCAATTCTAATCTCTGTTTTTACCGTCCATTTCTAATCTTTGCTGTTAGCCGCACACAGGGGCCGGTCTGTTTCCCTGAGGCCGGCGAGGGAGAGGGCCTTACTTACAGCACTCACATCTGAGAGGGCACAGCAGAGGGGACTAACAGAGCAACGTTGTGTTCCAGTGCACACACATAACAGCAGTCATATGACAACAAGGAGGTGGAAGAGAGGGAGGGATGGGGGAGGGCGGTGATGAGGGAGGGTACGGTCTACTACACACTGGATGTCGGCCCACACCGAAAGAAGATAACGGAGCGTGCGCGCATGCAGGCCGAGGAAACACGTATCAACGCCTGAATGTATTCTGTGAAAACTAAAGGCTGTCTTAGGTACAACGCAACAGGCAACAATTAGCTTGTTTACACGAGGGCGTGCGGGACCGCTTTTCCGAGAAAAGTACTCTAAGAGTGGAGTGAATCTGGTGGTGCCCATCAGTGACCCCTGCAGTCCACTGCCGGGGTTTATAATCAATCGTGATTTCCTGTGTTTAACATGCAGTGTAATTGCCTTTCCCGGTTTGAACAGGTGCCATTTTCTCATATCGCTCCTCTACTCACACAATCAATCCAATAAAACATATAACTGTTGTTGGCGGGCATCAGATTGGGGCTTAGCAATGGAGTACTGTTACACATAATTAGATTGAAATGTAGGTGTGGCTGTTTCGAATGGTGATTTCATCATTTGGTGTACATCTTGCAAAGTCTCTGCCGAGGCAACTGCCCTCCTGCAACATGTTAAATATTTTAATGTTATTCCTTTTAGCATCTACGTCCTCATCGTCCATTAGAATTCATTTAACAGTGCTGATAATGGAGGTTAACAGCTGCGGTGCTGTAGTAGTTTTTTATCCTTTTCTGTAGGCGGAAGAAGCCTGAAAGTCTTGGTTAACCACAATTTCCTTCCGTGGCAGATCGCGTTTATCAATTCTCACAACCCAAATGAATATTATGCTGGAGAAGTTCGAAGGAAGATTGGTGTGCTTTATTGCGAAGGCAGAAAACGCATCTGCACGCATCCGCAGCGGCATATGTGAGCAGAAAGAGACCCCGAGACACACGTGTGCTCGCATCAGTGAGAACATGCACACAAGACTCTGGCGTCCACCGTGTGCCATCTTATCATCAGACAGCCTGGCCGTAGCTCAGCCTGTGCACAAACATGCCATTGTCAGCGCTGGCAGGCCTTGTGACTCAGTATGACCCGCTGGATTGGGGCAAGGGGAGGGGGGGGGGGGGGGGGCACCGCCCTTGTGATCAGGAACGTTAAATAGAGCATTATCACAAAAAAGTATCTCGCATAGAGAGGCCTGACCCCCCCCCCCCCTCCCCCAAAACCATCCCCAAAAAAAACCCACTGGTTTTGGTGGAGTAGAGAGGAGAACACAGCCCATCATTGTTTCTCAGAATGAATGAGTAGTGTCCTCACATGTGAACAGTATATAGGCAACGTGCTACATCCATGAACCATGAACAGAGTGATAGCACGGAATGTTGAACAAACATGTGTGGGATAAATGAACTATTATTAATAACTGTGTTTGAAAATTATATTGCTATAGAATTTTGGTTTATTATGCCAAATACAGACAATTCAATATACTAGTTTAAATTAGATTTCGATGGTACATCTATAATGAAGAGGTTGATTCACACCCTTTCATTGTAGATGTCCTAAGAACCGTGTTTCTCTTAAAGCTGCATTATTCCACTTTTTGCCATTAGTGTGCACAACAAACGTCCCCTTAGCCACAACCAACATTGTGGCTAAGTGTACAATTGTCTCACTATCACATACAGCAGCATTTAAATTATTTTGGAATTGTGTTTACATGCCTAAAATTCAGCATCCACTCCTCTTTTTAACTCTGCTTTGGTCCCCACCAACTTGTCATTTGCAGGCTGTTTGGCTCTTTTCACCCGCTCGCTGTTTACATTGTCCGTCTACCATTTTGTCTGCTTGGCTTTTCCACTTTTTTTATGTC